ATCAATACTTTCTTTTTTATTTTTACAAGTAAACTTCTTTTCCCAAATCCATGATTTCACTCTTAAAAGCTCACTACCATCCTCCAATCAACGATCACTTCCAAAGCCGATGTCTCCTGCACTCCCATTGGACCTCCTCTCCTGAAGTCACGCCCTCCTCTTCAAACCCAAGCTTCTAACACCACGAACATCAGAGTTCCAGATAGAGGTTTGAAGGCTGCTGGCGCAGCCTAGACACCTTTTGACAAAATCATCTCCGTTAACCAGTCGTAGAGTAGATAGCAATTCGAGCTGCTTATATGTAGTTTATCTTTAAGTAAATCGAATTGTTAAGATTAAAATTAGAAGGGAACGTTTAAATAAATAAAACAAATAGAATAAAATAAAATTAATTAAGAATTATATAAATAAAATATATCAGGTTTTACTAAAACAAATCTGCATCGCGGTGATGGAGGGAATATTAACACTGAACGAGGGCTTTTGGCGACGGACCTCGTAATTTTGAACCATGGTCAAGAGACGAGTACGACACTTGAGTTAGCACCTCCCTCCCCTAACTACCACACCATACCAACTTGAGGACGTTTGAGCTCTCGACATATTTAACGTGATATCGCTTTCCTACACGGTGGCTCTTCAGTGGCACTAGGCTCGAACTCATGACATGCCAGCCGCGAATCCGTTACTTGGGCCACTAGGTTACCGTGGCCTATCTGTGATGGTGCTGAACGGTTAGTTTGCTTTGAAAACTGTCGCAGTAAGAATAATTCAAGGGTGTTTGGGCATAAATATTGTTATTTTGAAACTCGATCAAGTAACAAAGACAATATCTTTCTATTACAGTAGAACGTCGTTTATCTGAAAATTTATTATCCTGAGCGTCAAATATCCGGACCAGTTTTTTTTGTCAACTACATGTAATGTATATGAATTCGTTTTTGAACAGTGCAATGACGACCACAGGGAGGAGATTACCGACTCTCTCCAATCGATCCTAGGATTTCAAGAATGCGATGAAAAAGATATAGAAACCTGGATGTCATGCGATGCAGAAGACTGTGGATTTCAAATGCTAAATGATGACGAGATTGTGACTTCCGTGCAAGAAGAATCCGATCCTGTCGATGATGAAACGGATAAAGACGAGGACAACAACAACGAAAGTATCAAGGGTCCATCAAATGCGGTCGCGTTTTCTGCGTTAGAGACAGCTATGGAGTGGTACGAACAACAACAATCAGAGTGCTATCCTACTCAACTACCGCTGATAAAAAGAGAATCAGAGACCTTACAGTGAAAAACAAAAGTGTACAATGGTACAGCGAAAAATAAGTGATTATTTTCCTCAATAAAGGTAAAATTGCGACATTATTCACCTATTTTGCTTTTTCTTCAAGCACTTTACCCGCATGTGATAATTTTCAATATTCGTTTAGTGTCCGGCTTCATATACTGTATGGATCACTTTCGGTTTTCGGTTATCCGAATAATCGCGTATTCGAATGGTGTCCGGTCCCAATTGATTCAGATATACGATGTTCTATTGTACCTTATTCCTATAACTTTCCCACCCCGGAAGGATTTTGTTACTTAAATTTAACAAGCAGAAAAACAGCCCCTCAGTGCAAAATCTAATGAAATCAGGATTCGAACTTGAGACTCAATTGGAATATCTCTGGTCATATTTATTATCATGATTACTGAACTACGGCCTTGGCCCAGTAGAAGTCCATGTACAGGTGTTCGAATTCTAATCGAATCATACTAATATACCTATAATGTAATAAAACCATTTCAAAAAATCTTTCATTTTGGCGTAGAGTTGAACTTTTTTACGGAGATACTTTTGAGATCAGTTGAACAATATGGGCAAATGCGGTTTACTTACTTACAGTTATGTAAAGAAAAAAGAGGACATTTTAATAGTTTTTCTGACATTAGAGTTATAATAATTCATAATAATTATTAGCTCTATTTTTGCGGGAATTATGCACAGTTTATAAATGCATATAGCAAGAAGAAAAAGATAATGAGATGTTAAGTTTATATCGGAGAAAAATGCAGTTTTCATTTTTTCTATTTATTTATCCAATTGCACTGTGCTTGGCTTCTTGACCATTTGCTCCTCAGGGGCTCACCTTCTTTAGGTGAGTACGGGTGTCACAATCCCGAGGTACCCTAGTGATCTTTTCCTATTTTCCCAAGGGGTTTACTATCTTTGGTAAACACGGGCTTCACGAACCCTGGGTGCCCTAGTGATCCTTCTCTATTTTCGACCCTCTTTCTTGTCATTCCAATTCATCTTTTCTTCTTTTCCCGTCTAGACCACAGACAAATATGTACTTTTATGTATTTAAAAAATAAGACTTTTTCTTTTTTAACGAGTGTTTGGCGCAGCTTGACCGAAGTTGACCCTTGCGCCATTAAAATTCAAATTCAAATCAAATCTTGACCATTTGACGCCGCCTCCCAGTACCGACTGACGTTGTCATCAGCCTGGTATTCATCGAATCCACTGCATTGGTGCAGGTAGTCGCTATCCATTCTGACAGGGCCGCAGAGTAGATAGGCCTCGTTAGCAGCCACGCCAAGCCAGCGGAGCTATACTCCCAAAAATCATGTCCAGTAATTAGGTTAAAGCGGGCAACAGCCTAGGCTCTCTCCAGGTGCCTCGGGATTGGGCCCACAATGGCCAGAATTTCCCATAGCTTTCCAAAACTGTTCGCTTTTTGGGTCATGGCAGTATATTTGTCAATGTATGGGGAGATGATGCTCTTTGCTCTTCTGAGGGTCAAGGGAACTTCCGGTTGAGTCGACTCGGCTCCCTGCTTGACTTTTAGGTCGGCTCTTTCATTGCCGGAAATCCCAAAATGACTTGGGACCTACAGTAAGGCCGTAGTCCGGCCATAAGACTCGGATAACGGCGATCGCTGTTACACATTTAGCACCATCCAGGGAGCATGTGTAGCTTGAAGAATGCCACGGACGCGTGTAACTTTGCTCATTTTTCTGGGAAGGAAGAGAAAACAAATAAAAAAGTAAAGAATGTTTCATTTAAAAAACTAGCTAATTGCACCACAATTCTGAGTGAATTTCTTTTCTTTCATGGAAGCCTATGGTCATTCTTTCATGGAAGCCTATGGTCATTCTTTCATGGAAGCCTATGGTCATTCTTTCATGGAAGCCTATGGTCATTCTTTCGGGGAAGCTTATGGTCATTCTTTCGTGGAAGCCTATGGTCATTCTTTCGTGGAAGCCCATGGTCATTCTTTCATGGAAGCTTATGGTCATTCTTTCGTGGAAGCCCATGGTCATTCTTTCATGGAAGCCTATGGTCGAGGTAGCCCTGTCAGGAGTTCGAATCCTAATATTCTTGATGAAACGACGTGTAAGAGTCTATTGTGTGGTAAATCTATCGCGGTCCTCGTTGGCGTAGAGGAATAGTTTGGAGAAGGGGTGCCTTCTAAGGTGTCGCGTCCATTACTTGACCAAGATTCAAAATTACGATGTCCGTCACCAGTAGTCCTCGTGTTCCTTTTTAAAGCGACTTACAGAAATGCTCACTCACGCCACTGAACACCCGAAGTGTTGAAGATATGATGCGTGCAGATTATCAAGGCTTAAAGTCCTCCCGTTAGCGTGGAGTGGTAGTTTGGAGAAGGGGTCGTCACCAATAGCCCTAGGTTGCTTTAAAGGGCGATGTTAACAAGCAATTCCTTACTCTCTGATAACGGAACAGATTTACAATTTATTGTCTGTTTCAATTTGACTTTTAATGTTTATGTTTAATGTTATTTTCCCGATCTTATAGTGGCCGCGGTCAAGGTAATGAACTCGTAGTTGGCGTATCATGAGTTCGAGCTCCCGCTGGTGTGGAAGTTAGGAGAGGGATTGACAGCTCAGGTGTCGTCCTCGTCACTTGACCATGGTTCAAAATTCGAGGTTCGTCATCAAAAACCCTCGAGCAGCTGAATAGTGCGACGTTAATATTCACTCACTCCCCGGATCTAATGTAAATGTTTCGTTGTGACATTTTAGTGTATCTATTCTTCAAGAAACACTTTTCATGCATGGAATTTAGTGTTCATTTGGTTAAAATACCTTTTATACCCCATTCTCTCTCTCTCTCGATAAACACATTGCTTCTCCTTATTAATCATTCTATTTTTCAAGAAACTAAACCTACAATACTGAAAATCTACTTAATGTTTAAAAATAAACAAAGAAAAAAAACCCACACTATAGAAAACAATAAATCATATAAATAGAACGAGCAAAAAAAAAAAAAATAAAATGATTTTTAAAAAATCATTGTTTCTTATTGTTTGAATACCAATGAAAGCAGTTTAGGATATTATTATTGGAATAACTGCAAGTTTCCGTATTTTTTTTTAGTCCTTTAAATTAGGCAGAGATCCAGATAAATCCTTACTATCGAAATCCACATCTCCAACGAGCTTGGATCTTCCAGTGATTGGGTCCTTGATTCGGCTGATACCGACATCAATGATTGCTACTCCTTCCTTGACCATGTCAGCTGTGATTAGGTGAGGAATTCCGGTCGCTACTACAAGGATATCTGCCATTTTTGTGAATTCCACTAGCTGTTGTGCCGGCGTATGTCTGTGGCAGATCGTTACAGTGGCATCACCTAGTGAGCAAAAGAAGAACTAATAATTAGTAAAGCTTTCAAATTCTGAATTCACAGATCACAAGTAATGTAAAAAAAATTAAGTCAATTCTTGCTTACGCCAACAAAGAAAATTTTTATTTTCTCTCTCTCGTTACTTTTTATTAAATAGTCACAAATAATTTTAGTATGTATCTGTGCATATGACAGAATCACAGTATTAAGTGACAAAATAGACCCTTGCAATTTTCTTTTCTATATAGGGTCTTGGACTATTATTTGCTTATTTGTTACTATTCGTTCATTAAATTTAATTATTCTAATAAAATAGTGGAGTGAAAAGAAATCTCATTTTCAGAAATTGGGCAATCCCAAGTGGGATTCGAACCCACGATCTTTGGATTAGAAGTCCAAAGTGCTATCAGTTGCGCTACAGAGACACAGAGAACGTTTTTCCTTTCTATATATCGTCGGCCTAATTATCAGACTGCGTAACTCCACCGGTGTTACTGATTTGATATAGGAGTGCAACGCGCCAAGCGCTTTTTGGCGCGATTCCTAAATCCTTTTGTTTTTTGTCTACGCCATGCCTCAGTGCGCGCTCCACTTTTAATTTATTCCTCGATCAGTGTAATCCCTACTTTTTTTTATTTCATAACAAAACTAGATTTCGATTGATTGATTGAATGTTAACGTCGCACTGTTCAGCTAAACGAGGGCTTTTGGCGACGGACCACGTAATTTTGAACCATGGTCAAGTGACGTGGACGACACCTGAGCTGGCACCCTCCTCTCCTAACTACCACACCACACCACCGGGGGGGTACGTTTCAGCTCTCGACAGATTTAACGTGCATCGCTGCCCCACACGGCGGGTCTTTAGTGGTACTGGGATCGAACTCGTGACAAGGCAAGCCACGATCCGATACCTATACCACTCGGCTACCGCGGCCAACTAGATTTCGATGGGAGAGGTGGTGACAAGATTTTAACATAAAATAAATACAACAGAAAGTAATATTAATGTATTGCACTTCCAGATATAAATTATTTGCACTATTTTAAGCGTTCATTACACAAAATTTTTAACAATGTGTTACTTTTGCTGAGCAGAGATTCCGTAGAAAAAGAAACAAAAACAAAAAACTAACACTAATATACGTTATCCCCATGGCAACCACATTATCGCAGGATAAAAATATCAAAGTAAATCATATTGTAATATTATCGCCTATCTTGGCGACCTTAAACAACAACTTGGCGCCTAGCCCAACTGTATCAAATTAGCATGCCAGATGTAGTTACGCAGTTTGATAATTAGACCGACGATATGCTGTTGGACAACAATTTTTGTTTTTCACTATTTATTCATATTTTACTTTACTTAATGAGTTAATTTTTGAAACAAAAACTGTATTAACACCAAGAGTCATCCACTACAAGTTCATAAAAATGTATTAGAATTTGAATGGATGAATAGAAAGTATTAACGATTGAAAAAATTCGAATAAGATATACATATATATAGGAAGAGAGTGAACTAATAGTAGGAGTTGAAAATACAATTAGGAGACATTTTATTTCGCTTGAAATTTTTAAAATTGCATTGTGAAAATAATAGAAATAGTTGTGTGACACTTTTTTTACATATACATGTTTCGTTTATCAGTGTTAATTTTTTTTCTCCATTCTGCAAGTAACATCTGTTGTGTAGTGTAAAACATTTAATACACATTTTATAGCCTTCACAGTTCTCGTCAATGTTGGATAAAAAGGGACTCAAATGTTAATATCTGAAAAGGAATTAAACTATGGTGTTCATGGTTTAATTAATTTTAACTTCTAAATAATAATTTTTTCAAACAAATCGAAATTTCCTAGCATAATTCGATACATTCTTGCTATATACAGGAGAAAAGCGATTCACTCATCACGAGATCTCTGGAAGTATTACACAAACAGACGTAGAATTTGGCAGGCATGTTTCTTTTGTTGACAGAGATCCGCTAAAAATAGGTTTTGTGTAAATCATTTCAAATAGGTGGTGTTATAGATTTTAAAACAATCTGCTTTTTAATTGTTAAACCTACGGACTTAAAATTTAGTAATAATATTTCTTCCGTAGAGTAGAGGTATGCTAAGATTGAATTTTGTGAAAATCGACTTCCACGGACGTGCATCGGTGTTAAAAATGAAAAATTCCCTATGACTCGAGACTTGAAATTTAACAAGCATGTTTGTTTGTTGCTTAAATTTCCACTAAAAACGGGTTTTGTGGAAATGACTCACCGCTTAGAAATTCAAGTCCTGTCCGTTGTAAATTAAGCTGTTTGAGTTCTATAAGAATGTTTTTTTAATACAATAGGATGCTTAATGCTAGGACTTAGATGTGAGTAATTTTAAAATTTTATGTATCCATACAACACCGCGAAACACCAAGCGAAATAAGTGGGTAAGTGCTAGCATTATTTGTACAAAGCAGTGTTCCACAAAGTTGCAATTTTCGTGACCCAGTATTCAATCATAATTTTCATTGCGCCCCCCTCCCCATATAATAACAATGTACTGAATTCCATAATACTATACTTTGACACTAAAATTACGATACGATTTTAACCTTTTAAGCCCCCCTCCCCGTATATATAAACGTCTCGCTAAGCCAAAGCGTTTACTTCTCCGGACGTATATATATGTCTTTCCGAAGTACGATCTTTTCTGTGCACTGCTATCCGTAAAATTATTCCGAAGATTTTGGAATGCAATAAAAGGACCTTAACAATGTTTGCGAAGGATTGACTTATTCCAGATTATTTTTTGCTTCTTTATTCCTCCCCCCTCCCCCAATTCATCACGTACGCGTGCCTACGTGGAAAACGGTTGACATTTGGAAGCGAATCGCGAAACTTTTGATCGGCAGTCAAGGTTTAGTTATAAACCATACAAAAAATTATCAAGATAATTTTTGTTTTAAATTATATATATGACAAGCCCATGGGGTCACTGGTAATTAATAAACTTGTTTTTAACTTAGTATTGTTAAATTAATTATAAAATACATTGTGTAGCACTAATATATTTATAAGTGTAATAAATCAGTATAAATTTGTATTTATTTTTTATTATGTCAGAATGTATTTTGTTTGCTTACATTTAGTATATTAATAATTTTTTTTAAATAAGCTTTTGTTCTCGACTTTTCAATATGCTCGCGCCCCCCTTTTAGAGTTGTCATGCTCCCCAAGGGGGACACGCCCCACAGTTTGAGAAAGACTGGTATAAAGAGAAAGAGTTTATATTTCGAATTCTAGAAGTATTCTAAAACACTTAAGAGACCTACATTACTTTTCTCAGGTGATTCATTACTCTTTAACCGTTTTCAAATACGGAAGAAGCATTAATACTGCTTACTGTTAACCGTTGCAAATACCGCAACATTGATGTACCTTTCGGTGTGAACAAGAGAATTGCATGAAGCAGATTTTATTACATGAAAAATCCAAGCAAATATACAAAAATATGTGTCTTAAAATTCCTTTTTTTTTCGTAACTGTATTTAGTAACTTTTATTTTTCGTAATAATACTGCTTTTTTTCTGTTTTTACGTTTTGAAAATTTTTGTAAAGCATTCCTGTCATTCAGTAACAAAAAAAAAAGAAGAAAAGTTTTGCAAAATATTGAATACAAATTTTTTATCGTCAAATGTAACGCACATTCATTCATTTAACATTAGATGATCCTTAAAACCCAGAAACTTTTGATGAATTTACAAAAATTGGAATTTAGAAGATCTTTATTAGTCATCCAAAGCATAAAAAGTTACGTAATGGAAAAAATTATGCTTCAGAAGTTAATTAATTCATTTATAGAAACAATAATTAATTTCCTTTGAGCCCTTAAGATCAATTCAATTTTATTTAGCAGTGATGAAAATTGCCTTTTATTTGCTTTTGCAGCACTTTTACAACTAAATCAACTTTTCTCTATGACGTTTCTAGTGAGATTCGGTAAGATCAGTTGCTACAGAAAAAAAAAGCATGTTATAACTGAGACAAAACTTTTGATTCACGTTTAGTCAGTTGGCAAAATGAATCATAAACAAGAAAAGCTAGTATCTTTGCGACGCGAACAGTGATAATGAAAACACGAATAAACGAACAATGAAATAGTTATTATGAAAATCGCATATTTTTTCTGCATATTTTAAATAACGAAAAACAATTAAATATAAAGAACACGCGACTTTAAGGCCCCGCATCACGCGTACACGCATTTGGAGCAATTTTCCTTGAAAGCGACCGATTCCGTACAATTTCAACCTAGTTGCCATAGAAACGGCTCCGAACAACTTTTTCCCAGTGAGCTGAAAAAATAGTTCCAAATAAAAGTTGCTTGAAATTCCAGCTAATAGGGTTCTTTGGTGTCTACGTCATGAACAAGCTGGTGTTAAAGATGGCGGTTTCGGTTTTCGTCAAACACATTAGATGTGGTTAATAATATTTTAATGGTGAAAAAAATTTTGACGGCGTATAATATTTTAAACAGAATGGTGCTCCATTTCTGTTTACGCCCGTCAACAAAAGCGCGAGCGAAATAAAGGAAATAATATTGGATGTTCGTTTTCCGAAGCAGAAAAATCGGCGAGTAATTTTTCAATGTGGAGATAGAGCGCGGCTGACGTCAGAGCAAGTCGTTTTACTTACTGCATCCCTTTACCCTCAGCTGCGTGAAAAATTGTCCTAAATGGTTGCTTCAAATATGTGTGTGTGTTAGGGCCTTTATACGAATAAGACCGCATTTCAGAGTACATGGGTTGCCAAAATAAACAGTGTGCCAGAATGAATTCGTGATTTCACGGTGAAATCGTCAAATTCACCTGACTTCTTGTTCTACACTCCAGTCACACAAACCTTTTTTCAAACTCTTTTTATACCATCCGGAATTTTCATTAAATTAACAGTAATAAATTAATGGTTTTTTATATATATTTCCTCCTAACTAAATTCGTTGCATTATTTAATGCGTTTTTAGTGACACTAAAGGCAAGTAATGCGTATTCGTGCTGTGAAAGAGGATTATATCTTTTCTTATTTCAAAATTACATTTATGCTTTGTAAAAATCTGTTCTTAAATATTGATATTCACATAATTTAAGAAATACTGTATTTACAAATAAGGCATTAGATATTTACGTAATATAGCAACCATGTTAACTTTCAAGATAACTCATTAAATTTGGCAACCCCTATTTTGCACATGTCATAGGCGCCGAAATGTCAGTAATGTGTTTCGTTTCATATATTTCTCCACTTTTTCTTCTTCATAGATATCGAAAGCTCGAACACTGAAATGCGAATCTGAGATTTACCGAATTCTTAAATAATTAAATTAAATAATAAAAAAATTTCTAATAATAATTTTTTAAGTATAATAATAATAATAT